TATAACCCTTAAACTTAAGATTAAACACATAGCTTTAAGCACAATAGCACTTTTTTAAAAATGAAGAATGAATGAAATATACAATTTAGGATATTTATTGTTATTATTGAAATGATATTATTAGAAAGAAATTCAGGAGTCTCAGAAATACTTTATTTAAAAGAAATTACATATCAAACAGTGACGAGTAGTGCTATTAATGTCAGTTCTTCTGTCTCAAGAGATTTTCAAAATTTGTTTTCAATTAAAGTATTCTTACTACACTTGTATTTTTGTTTGTTTTAACATTGATTAACAAAATTATTTAATAGTGGCAACCCTGTTTACCTGGGCGTAAAAAACGTACAAATTTATGTTTAAAATTTCAAATGAGCTGTTCTTCAAAGATATAGCTTTTAAATTAAAAAAATTACATTAAAGCATTAAGAAAGGACGAAAGAAACTTTTAACTTTAAACACAAAGGTTCTTATACTTATTGCTTATTGTATTTTATCGTGCTTATTGTATCAACCGTGCTTATTGCTTATTGTATCAACCGTGGAAATTACATAAACAGTGAGAAATCGTCTTAGGTTAGTTTCCGGACATACGAACAAATTGGGATTCACAGAAGATGATCTTAAATGTCTCTTTAAAAAAGTTTAAGTTTGATTGCGATTCCTATTTGGTTTGAGCAATTTCTCTTATCTTATAATATTCTATATGAAAGTATTTCTACAGAGAGCTTTCATAGATACAGATATTTAGTTATCAGTTTTGCTACATAAACATCATAATTCTTGTGGTACAACACTATTCCCAACACAAAAAAAGAAACTGAAACTATAACTAAATACTTTTTTTTCTAAACTATTTTTAATGTTTTTTTATAATGATGATGTGATGACCAGTCCCGTAAGACAAAAATTCAACTGTTACTGTTTACTTTAAAACATGAAAATTTCACTATGAAAATGAGATTTTCTCATCATAAAAAAAAAAAGAAAAAAATTCATCAAACATATGAAATAAAGTAGCGAGAGTTTTTATTTTTTAATGTGTGTGTGCTTTTTTTACATATTTAGTTCCATGTAGTTGTGGATATACACACAGGCAAACAATGTTTATTAGCAGAGCAAAATGGATAATCATTTATGTAAAGAGACACAAATTTTCTTGTAGTTGATTAAAAATCATTTTTGGGTTTTTAATTTCTTTCTCACACTAATAATTTTTTCTTTTTTTAATTTTTTAGGTCTTTTTTTATAATTTTTTATGATTTAGTTTTTTTTTTTCATTTTCTTTATTAATGGGTTTTTGTTTTCACAGTGTGTTTTTAGAAATCCTAAGTTTGTTTTTTTTTTTTGTTTTTGGCTAATAGCCAAATTGTTGAGGTAACAACATTTTACAGAGAAAAATTGGAATTTTGTATGTGTACGCATTGAATTATTGCAAAGAAAATACTTGTGTTACAAATAAATTAATTATAAAATTAAATTTTATAAAATATTTTTTCCATTTTTATTATAAATATTTAAAATTTTAAATTTCGATAAAATTTTAATGAAAAACAGAGATCTGCTCTTATAAAGAATACATTTGTCCTTCAAATTCTAATAACAAGACTATGACGTTTCTTATTTGGTTGTTTCTGCAACTGCAAAAGCTGTAAGAATTACTTAAATTAAAAATAGGAAAGGGGTTAGTGTAGTTTTAAAAAGTCTATATAGAGGAAATTAAAGTCAAAATACAAAGAATGTAAAATTTTGGGATCATACTTGATTCAACACTAATAAGTTCACAAGAAAGATAACATGAGCGTTAACTCGAAAGCCTCAGCAGTTGACCCCTTCTTAGAAGATACTATGATAATTGAAGTGGTACGGCTAGGAACAGTGGAATCCACAAATTCGATTGCTATTGAGTCAAATCAGTAATTAATTATAATTAAAAGTTTACGACTTATAAAAATAGTTACTTGCTTTCCGCACTTCAAACAGCATATACACAAACTTTGCAATGGCCTTTTAAACAAACCGCTATTTTACCATCTATTTTCTCTTAGATGGAAAACTGCAGAAGTTTGAAATTTTTGTCGTTTATAAAAATTGATAAATTCCGTTTGTTAGAATTTTTTTGTGCAGCTTAATTTGTTTAAGCTTCATTTATTTTTTTTATTTTTTTTTTTACGTCATCCTGAAAGTATGCAATTGTTATAGTATTTACTAAAAATTAAACATAAAAGGACATTTAATATCGTTCTTAAAAAAAACTGTCTGATCTGCGTTTATTTGTACCTCGTTTTTTTTTTCTTATTGTTAACAACATTAAACAAAATATTAAAAATTTTAATATTGAGACGGCAGGTTACCATTTTTAATTTAATGTTTCATTTGTATTTTAATTAATAATTAACTACATAATATTAAGGAATATTGAAGGTGACTAAATATGCAAAGTAAGAAATTTATAAAATTTCCCCGAAGTATTTATAAAACATAACAACTTCGTCTTATTAAATAGTCTCTTTAAAGGATCAATCTATAATAATACTGTAGAAGGATTTAAACAACTTAAGTATGTAAACAAGTAACTTACTACTTGTATTACTTTTATTTAACAGTTAAATGTATTAAGCGTATTAGTAATTAAGAATTCGTTTTTAATCTGAAAATTAATTGTCATTGCGAACGAAAACAAATGCAAACGTAGCCTTTTTTTTATTACACTTTTTTTATTGAATTTCCCACTGTACGTACATATACATATATGTATATTGTGGTAATTTTTTTTTTATTTAAATAAGATATAAAAAAACTATGTACATATACTTATGTAAAACTTATAATATAAAAATATAAAAATAGATTTGTGGTGAAAATACTTAAGTTTTCAAAATTAGAATGCAATTTAGTTGAAAGCAGAACAGTTTCTTTAATAGATATAGAGGAAAAAAAACAAAATAGAAGGAACACACAATTATAAAAAAAGAAGCAAAAAATGCACCAATCGCAAAGTTGTTACAATTGTTCTAATAACAATTTGCTTTTTTATTTTGCAAATTTTTGTTTGTGTTTTTGTTTTTTTGGTAACGCTTTTGAGGTATTTTCTATTTTGAACGATGATAAATGATGATTTATCACATTATAATTTACATAAAATAAAAAACAGAACAAAATAAAATTATTTATAAATGTATGATTTAAATTTAAAAATAATTTAAAATTTTTTCCTTTTTATTTTCTTATACTTATTGTTTTTTTCTCTATTTTATTCTATCGTACATAAAAATAGAATAATTTGCATTGTTTTTTTGGCAACAGTTTTAAGATTTACTCATCAAAAGGGCAGAAAAAAAATTTTGACTTATTGAATTTTTACAAACTTTTATACATTTATTTCCTTAATTTTTATGATGTGGAATTAGTTAGTCAAAATACGTAAAAGTGAAATTATTAAAACTAAAATAGAATAAGTAAAAGTAAAATAGAAAACAATTAAAAATAAGCAAGAAAATTATTGAAACTACAGAATAGAATAATATATATATTTTAATTATATTTAATGATAGACTTATTGTATATGTATTAACAAATATTTTTAAATTTTAAAAATTTTAGCGTCAGGCCCCTGAGTATATGCAATATTTATGTATAAATTTAAATATGTACATATTTTGTATTGATTTATGCATAGTATGTATATACGTAATATGTAAATGACATTATGTATGTATGGAAAAAGTGCAAACTTTGTATCTTGTTCCACATTGTATTTTAGAAAAATTCTAGAATATTATCCGTTTCGAATAATAAGATTTTTTCTTGAAACACAAATCAAAGCATGTATTCAAAAAATTGCAAATACTTTTTGTAAAATTTTCTCAATAGGTATTATCGGTATGCGTAGGTTAATATTTAAATTGACATTACACTAATTTTTAATTTTATACATTAAATTTTTGTGAAAAAAATTGGAAATAAGATGGTGCCAGTAAAAATTAAAAAAAAAAAATTGGTTATAACAAAAAAACAAATGTCAACGTCAAAAAATTAAAATTTGTATCCCGAAATGCAAGGCAAAAATTTGGATTTCTTTGACAACGCAGTGTCATTACTTTTGGATTTAATTTAGCTGTTTAAAAATTTTGCAGTTTCAAATATTGATAATATCTATGAATGTAATTGGAGGCGTTAAAAATTGATGAGTTTTTGAGAAAAAATGCCACTTTGCTTGTTTGTTTCTTGTTTTTTTTCTATTTTATTTTATCGTACATAAAAATACGATATTATATTAAATATTAAATTAACGATATTATTAAATATTATATTATATCGTACATAAAAATACGACATTAAATTATTGAACCCTTAACTTTTTTATGGATTCTAAGCTTAACATATAATAAACAACCAAATAACATAAAAAAACTGCTAACGGAAAACCTAAAAAATCAATAATTAAATCATTCGTTATGAACTCAAGCATCCAGTAAATGTTTGCAAAGAAATTAAAAAATTTATAGAATTCCAAGCGAAAACAATTCGCCAAATGTTTCAATAGTAAATAACATTCAAGCTATTTAATCAGTTAAGGGCTCAGAATTTTTAACTACTAGAAAAAATTTATATCAATAACGTAAAAATTTGACAAGTAAAAATTTTTTAGGATTCTATAGTGACAGCCAGTTTTGTTTTTTAAGGATATTTTGTTCTAATATTCTAAAGCCATCCTTTTTTAAACTTATTTATGATTATGTGAATTTTATGTGAATATTAACTCTTTGAAATATTGTGGCCTACTAATAAGTGCCAATGGGTTGTACAATCAGCATATAATAGCTCTTATAGACTTTCCCAAACAAAAATCTCTAAAATACTTTAATATTTTTGATCATTGTATGCTCCTTTAGCTTTTAATATTACGCGTAACTTGAAAATATCATTTAGCATATGATACGTGAAAAAGAAAGACTTAAATAATTAGGTTATTTAAAAGAAAATTATTTATTAAAACTTACCTTACTATGTGGTAAAACAATGAAAGCACCTCCACCAGCTGATTCAACTATTATAGCTAAAAATTTTGGATTAACAGCACAAAATGTTGAATCCCAACTACTTTTTGATACACGAATATTATCGTAGCATTGTTCACGTTTTAATGCTTGACCATAGACATGACGAAATTTTGAACTTCGTACAACACGAAATGACATTTTTTTTTTATTTAAATATTTTCTAACTATTTATTTTATATAAATAATATTTTTTTTAAATCTATCTAATTTTTTGTATTTTTTTATTTAAAATAAATTAGTAAACTTAACTTTAAATCTATTAGAGGTAAAAATTTCACTAAAAAAAAAAATTAAAATAAAAATAAAAAATCTGAAAATAAAACGAAAAATTATGAAAAAAAAAATTATTATAAAAGACTCAATTTTTTTTATTTTTTATATTTTTTTTTTTGTAATAAAATAAAAGTCTGATTTTATGTGGGCGCACTTTTTTGTTTTATGTGATTTTTTGCCTTGTTTTATTTAAAATTAATAATATTTGCTTCTTTATTTATAGTGAATGATGCTAGAATTTCTTTTTTAATTGTTATTTAAATATTTTGGTTATACTGTTCAAATTTAAGCAATTTCATATCATCGAATTTTTGAAATTATTGGCTTTCTGTTTAAAAATACGTAAAAAAATACTTAATTTTAAATGCTTAGTTAGAATTATTGTCCACATTGCAAACAATACGAGAGGTTATGTGGAAGCACTAATTTTCGTATCATGAGTTTTTGGTAAAAATTCATTTCTTCATGCTAGGGTATAAAATATTTTTCGTAATATACCTGCCCGTTTGTCAATTTGTCTGTAAACTCCTTTATCTCAGTTTCGACTAAATCGATTTTTATGAAATCTTATATTCAAATGTACTATTAACAAATCACAGATTGATACAGCCTATGGGCCGAATTTATATTTTTGGCCACATACAGAGAAATAATCAACGAATTATTTTAAAGTTTAATAATTTAAAAAGTGGTTAGTAAAACAATGAACCATTTAAAAAATTTTCAAATTTTTTGAAAATATCACCGCTTATAAAGTTGACTTTGACCAATAGAGACCAGTTTTATATTTTAAACATATGCTATTTTAGTTATTAGATTATAAGAAAACTATTTATAGAACTTTAGCCTACACTATATTATTAGAGGGGAATATTTATTCCGGTAGACGACTTTGCATAATTTTACCAGAAATTTCCATTTGCAAACGTTCCATTTATAAACCAAGTACTCGTATACTTCCACTACCTTTTTTTTCAACTCCAACCAACTCCCAAATAGTTTGGAGTTTAAAAAACAATATTTTGGTAAAAAAAAACGCACCAAAAATATAATAATTATATTATTAAGTACTTAGAACGTTATAAATATTAAGAGTCAAAGTTAAGCTCGAATATAAATGTACTACACTTTTTTATGCGCTAATTTTTTAATAATGCAAGTTGCTAACTGTTCATATTCACATGAATATCTATTCCCTCTTATATATGTATATGTATGCGTATATGTAGATTATAATGCATGTTTAAAAGAAATGAATCACACAAACTTAATCTTATTCAATTTAACAGACTTACGTTATCAATTCGATACTATAATCATATTTCAATAAACATTTTGGAATTGAAGTATACTTATACATTTTTAATAGAATCTTCGTTTTAATGCAATTTTTTTTATAAATATTGTAATTAGTAAAGCATTTTCCAGATAAGTGACATATGAGGAATAAATAGGGCTTAGTTACCGCCATAACATTTATAATAAAACTTTATCAAGTGTATGCTGATAATATTTTCTCAACTTTCTTTCCAAAAAACAAATTTTTTATAATTAAAATAAAAATATTTTAAGGAATTTTTCATTTTAAATTTATTTCTTAAATAATAATTAATTTAATAAATTGAATGGATATTTTTGTATTAAGATTTATAATTATAATAAAATTTATATAATTAAATAAATCTTTTATACACATTCTTTTACCATTAATGGATTTTTTCCTATCTACTAAATGTACAACTATATAAAATTTCAATGTTAAATTATCGCGATTTTTCAATAAAACCAGAAAAAAAAGCAAAAAACTAAAACTAAAAATATAATTTAAAAACAAAGCAAAAAAAAAACTACTTATTATTTTTATTTTATTGCAACAAATACCTGTAGTGTTCTCTTCACACTTCAAAAGCAAAAAAAATTATTGATAAGTAACTAGTAAGCAGATATTATTTTAAGTATTACAACATAATTCAAATCAAGAATCGATTAATATTTTGCTTATAAACACTAAGTACGTACTTATATACACAAACACGGTATATATATATTTTTACATTTAATAAATATGTGCATATTATATGCGTATATGTAGATAGGCACACTTAAATACAAAAGATGACATCATAATAAAAAATTTTTAAATTAAAAAAAATCGAAAATATATTATTATGTATGTACATATATCTACCCTGTTCGAATTATATCCAACATACTTAAGTATAGAAAAAAAAAAAAAACGAAGCGAAAATTTCATAAAAAAAAAATAGAAAATTGTATCGTGTTAATTAACAATGAATTAGTTATAAATGTCCCCTAACGTCTAAGATTTTAATTAATAAAAAAAAGCAAGAAAATGAAAATTTTTAAATAAGAAAAAAAGTCCGTAAAAAATTGCTAATGAAAACGGGATAGAAAGAAAGAGAAAGCCTAAATTTTTACAAAATATAAAATGTATACTACATATACTAATTGATGTGTGCTTTAAATAAATATACATACATATAATTACAAACTAAATACTTGTATAAAAATTAAAGTAATCAACTTAAAACTCGAATAATAAAAATGAAAAAAAAAGTCTTATAACTTTTTTACCCGTTAACTAATAAAAATCAATAACCCTTCGAGCATTTTTGTCACCATAAAGGCATAACACATAATTAAAATTCATATTTTTCACCCTATACTTTTTAGTTGAATGTAATAGATTAAGTTTTCTAGATAACGATTTCAGCTACATCTATGTATGTAAAACTTCAGTTGTTTTATTTCATTTCAACCGTTATGAGTTGAAATTATTGGAAATTAATTTTTTACATTAAGAATGAACGTCCGCAACGTCTTATACACATGTTCATTATTATAAAAAAGTAAAGAAACATGGTGTTTGCTGTTAAATATGACAGTTATACGTCATAAACAGGAAACTGAGTCCGATTTTATGAAAATTTGCATAAAAGTGAGCTTATGTTGCGCGTTCATACGATTATAGAGTAAATGGATAACGCAAATTGTAGAGGAAATGGATAACCAAAGAAACGAACATTTTTTCTTCTCGAACTTAATTTGAACGAGTGACCTACGTTGCGTCTGTTTACTTCAAAATAACTCCGTTTTTGTTTCCAGTTCTTGCAATTATCTCATTTAACTAATCTTTTAAGCAACTCTCTATTTCAATAACACTTAGCTATAAATTTTCACACTCACATCCATAAATATTTTTATATATACCATAAGTACATGTACATATGTATAGATACAATATATATATTTTTCAATTGCATTTTTTACAAATAATATTATTTATCTTGTGCGACATTTAACAAAAACAAAACGTAAAACTTAAATTTTTTTTTGCATTAAACTCGCAATAAACTTGATTTGACTAGATTTATTTTATATTGAATTGCCACAGCAATGTATTTATACGTAATTTTTCATTATTTCGCTATAACTGAAAATTACTATAGTAATCAAAATTAAAGAACGTTAAGGATGAAAATCATATAATCTTCCTCAAAATTGTAAAATCGCAAAGACTATATAGTTTCATATAATCTAACAAAAAAATTGACATATAATCTGACAAAAACAATGCCCACAATTCATAAGTGACAAGAACATAGGGATGTTTACATTTTAAATTAGTAAACATTTTCCATTTGCATCGTGAATAAAAATCGATTTCTAGAGAAGCCGGTGTTTTTACATTACATCTGAACGTTAAGCCTTAAAATTCAACAATCTTCTTCATTACTTCATAATTAAAATTATTATTGCTTATGTACATTTCATTAAGTTACGCAGTAAGGAATAGATAAGCCAACCTGTAGAAAAAGTTTACGTAGCTGCTCCTGCTATTTACTTATGGTGTATACTTTAGCGTAAACATTGTTGTAGTTCTCTAACTTATAATTTTTCATAATTTATTTTTAATAATCCAATTCGTAATAATTATTAACATTGAAACGTTAGCATCGGTAAGATTTTAATTTTTCGTGATAACAATTCTTATTTAACTACTTTTTACAACAATAAAAACACTCTAAATAATCATTTTGTTCATATACTTAAGTAATTATTTTATTTAAATTAATTGATTGGAAATGCATTTCGAATTCGATTATTACCATTTATAAATTATTTATAAAAATTGTAAAAAAAAATATTAATCATAACTACATATTTTCACAATTCATAAACATAATTAGACAAGGTGAAAATGGTAATAATTTTTTATACATATGTATCTAATTAAAAAATATTTTAATTAATAAATACATATTTGTAATAGCTGTATTTTAAATTTCAATTTTAGAAATATTTTAGAAAATCAATTTTAGAAAATCTTTTTACTTTTTATAGTACATATTTCATTTTTATATTTAAATATTTAAATTAAATCAATGAAACCCTCCGACATCAAAATTTCTTTAATACGTTAGTAAAACACACTTCAGTTAATGAGTTGCTATTGCTGAATTTTCTGAATATGTTCAACAAAAAATTAATACTTACTTACTGAAAATGTGGAGAGCTCAACCTTATCTTTGACATTATTTGATCAACTATTACAATATTTTACCTCTAAAATGATTGAATTCACAATAATTAATTAAGAAAAGTCAAAAGATTAAAAAAATTGACGTATTAACTTGTCATTACCTTATTATCTAATTATTTTAATAAGAATCTATACATAAATCAATTGTCGAAATATAAGAATTGGTTATATATACAGGTCAAGGCTTTTTGTGAATAATATTAGTGCATTTAAAAAACCTAGACCTAAGAACATAATAAGGGAGAAAAAATATTTCTGACCCCAAAAAGGACGTAAATACGTAACTGTGTATACTTATGTATTATGTAAATGTGCAAGAATTATGAAAATATTTCACGATATTTTACAACTAAGAATGTACAAAAATTGCTTAAAAATTCTTTTATCTTGAATTTCCTAAAATTATCAAAATTTCAAAAAAAAAACTAAAAAACAGAAAGAATTTCCTTATATTTCAATAAAATTATCTACAT